TAAAAACTCCTCCTGGAGAAGCAACTTGGACAAGGTACCCCTTCCTCTGGTCTGGATCAGTTCTGCCCAAGCCCCAGCATGGTAGGGCAAAGGGGGAGTACTGGAACCCCAGGGTCATGGCAGACACTCTTCTCTCCAACCCCCCTTACCCCACTGGATTCCATACATCACTAAAGTGAGGCAGCAGGATCTGCAGCATTTCCACATAGACTGAGCTAGCTGCCAGCTTCCAGCCTTGCCCCTTGAAGATGGCCTTGAGGTCATGGGCAGCCTCCACCACCAGTACCCCATCCATGTTCTTCAGGCCCTTCACCAGGGAGGGCATCAGGGCCTGCACCTTGGCCCTCTGTGGGACAAAAGCATGAGAGGGGGTTCCGCCTAGGGTGAAGACCCAGCCTCCCATTCAGCAAGACCAGGGTGAACCCGTTCTCACACCAGGCACTGCCTGTGCCCTGTCTCCTGTCCTGAATGCCCTCCCTCCAGCTCCAGCTGTCTCCTGTCCTGAACGCCCTCCCTCCAGCTCCAGCTGCCGCCTGTCCTGAACGCCCTCTCTCCAGCTCCAGATGTCTCCCGAAGCTCCTTGTTTCCTCTCCTACCCTGGGGCCCAGAGCCTTTCATTGCTTATCCCCTTCTCTGGCACCAGGTAGATGATACCCTACATTACGAGTTAGCTTCTTAAGTCTATGTCCTGTCCCTTTGTCCTGGCTATGCTGCAAGCTGAAACAGTGCCCAGGAGAGAAAAACACACTTCGTACACATTGTACGTGCACATTATACCATCCATCTAGGTTTCCTGACCTATAAGATAGGAATAATTACTGCCACCCTCTCTCCTCCTACACACTGTCTTTGTGAAAAATTTGGATTAGGAACTATTGAAAAAGAATAGAATATGTAGGTTACAGTGACAGATCCATTTTATAGATGGGATCATTGAGGCTAGGCAGAAATGGGCTCTGGTTCTAGCTACCAGGATCTGAGCTGTGACAACCAAGCTCCGGCTCCCTCTAGGCCAGAGCCTGGAGGAGCCAAGTTTCTCTCTACCCTCTACTCACCTTATCAGCTCTACGGGCCAGGATGACCAGGCCCCGGATGGACAGAACCTTCATGATGGGGTCACGGTGGCTCAGGCCTTCTACCATCCGCCCCAGGGAGTACTGCTCTGGGATGCGGCGCATCTGCTCCATCCGGAGGAGCTGAGGGAGCAAAACAGCACTAACTCCTAGGCTGAGGGCACATGGCTGTCTTCCCTACAGAGTGACTACCCAGAGCTTCAGACTGGGAAAAGTGACAGTTTGTTACCACTTTCCATCTAATATTCATAAGACACTTCTGGGTTAACCAAACATGTCTCTCCCTGTGCCCCTCCTTGTCTGGCCCCTGGCTCCTGCTTGCCCCTGTGGCGTCCTTCATGGCACATCGACCCTGCCCCCCACCTTCTTATACTAACTAGTTGTCTTTCATTTCCCAAATGACCAGGCTAATTTTCCTTCTTGCTAGCAGGGTGCCGTTTTACTAGAACGACCAGCTACACTCCCACGCCCCGCACCTTGCATTGCTCTTTCCAAACTCAGCCTCCTTAACCCTTTCTGCGCCTTTTCGGGCTAACAGTCTTCCCTGGGCCCTGGGAACCCTGTGTATCCTCCTGAGGTGGCAGCTGACCTCAGTGCCTTATCTGCCTTGTCCCCAGCCACCTGCAGACTTCCTATAGTGTGAAAACCCAGCAGGCCCTCCTTTGGGCCCATCACCAACCTAAGCTCTGGAGTGGAATATGTGTTTAGGGAGTACTTGTAATCTAAACTCAAATCCAACATGAAATTTGGATCCTCCCCTCCTGTGGACTGCTCTTCTTCCATGGCCCCATTGCAGGGTTAGCATTACCATCAGCCAAAAACTAAGCATCAGCCTCATCTTCCTCTGCCTCATACCCTCCCTGTCTTCAATAGCCAATAGGCTTTGGTTCTCACCACCTCATCCTCATCCCCTTGCCTGATAGCCACTGTCTATGAACAGCCATGTCTTTGAGATGGGGAGCCCTGGGGACAAGGGGAGCTAGAGGAGCGGTCAGGATGGCTGGCTAAGCAGAGGAGAGGGAAGGGAGGAGGAAGGACCGCACCACTGCCAGCCTCTGCCTATCCACGCATGCTACTCAAGTCTGCTATGCAGCAGGCTGTGGGTGAGGCCTGGGACAGAGGAGAACAACATCTCCTCTACCTTTTACCTGCAGTGTTGAAAATCAGACCCAGTGTCTCACATGTGCCAGGTAAGCCCTCTACCACTGAACCACATCCCCTGACTAGTATTGATCATTTAATTTAATTAGTTAGTCTTTTGAGACAGGGTCTTGCTCTGTAGCCCAGGCTTACTTGGAATTCACTATGTAGCCCAGGATTAGCCTTGAACTCACAGTAACCCTCCTGCCTCAGCCTTCCAGGTTCTGGGATTGCAAGCATGAGACACTATGCTTAGCTGATCATAGCAGAGCTGTGGTTGGAACCCTAGACTCACAGAGAGCTCTTTCTACACACCAGGCTCTGCTGTAAGATCTTTAAGTGAACACGTCATCCTTACTGAAATTCTATGAGGTAGCCCATTCACGGTGCTCAGATGACAGGTAAGGAAACTGAGACATAGCCAGGCGTCCCACAGGCCCCTTGATGAGTTTGCTCATCACTGGGAGAAACAGCGTGAGCTCTGGGTGTCTAGCAGGGACACCTGAGTACAGAGAACACAAAGGTGCTGGCTCCACTAAGACACAGGCTTCTCTTCTGGGAAGGTAGGAAAAGCCTGAGGGGCATCCCTTTACCTGAAGTGGGATAGAGGACTGAGTCAGGCAAACGCAGAGAGAATTTCTGAACTCCCTCAGCTGAGTGACCTTGAAAAAAGACTTTGACCTCACCTGTCTTTGAGCAACGCAATTCCTTCTATGAAGGGTTGCTATACAGATGCTGGGTTGACACTAGGGCTGTGTTTGGCACATGATAAGATTGCAAGAATGATACCTTCCCTCTCTCTCCCTCCCTGGATCACGGAGACCAGAAGCAGCACTAGGCAGAGCTGGGGTTGGAACCACAGACTCCTGACCCCAAGACCAGTCTGTCTTCCCTGGAGATGACACATTCTTCTGGTGCTAGAGAACCAAGTAAAGTGTCCACTCAAGCACTCACTTGCCAGCCAATCCCTGCTTTGGGGGTGCTGCAGTATAAACCAGACACGGTCCTTCTCACCAGACTCAGAGTCTGGAGAGTCAGAAAAGCTAAAGAAGTGCCTTGATTGCACCTCTGGCAAACTATACTCACCTATTGAAGATCTAGTTCAAACATAACCTCCTCCAGGAAGCCTTCCTATCTTTCCCATTGCCTAGGCAGAGAACCTCCTGCCACTAAGTCCCATTTTAAAGACTGGTGAAACCCTGAAGCCTCCTGCATGACAACTGTCAGGCCAGTAAGCTGTGGTCACAGCAGGCCCTACAGTATCACTCAGTGGATAAAGGGATGATGAAAGTGCAGTGTAGCATACAGTGGAATCTTCTTCTTCCTCCACAAGGGGCTTCAGATGCATCCTCCACCCTGAATAAGCTAGGAGACCTACAAAATTGCCAGGCACAGAAGCCCATCTGGCTTGAATGAAGTACCACAAACAGGTGCATTCACCGTCAGGAAATAGAAGGTCCCAGCTGGTGAGGCTTTGGAAACTGTAAAGTACTGTACCCTAGGATAAATTACCATGATGTGTACCCTGGGCCCTCCCAGAGGCCCCTCCCTCAAATCTCCTGCTCTCCTACAACTGCCTCCAGCTTAGCACAAGTCACACTATAGTACCCTACGTTATAAGTGGGGTGTGCTCTGTCTTCTCAACCACATAGAGAGCTGAGGACCTGACCAGCCCTCACTGGGTTCCCAGGCCCCGAGAAGTACCTCCACAAAGAAGGCGGTGGCGGTGATCCTGTGTTTGTCGTCGCCTCGCTCCAGGAGCGGGATGAGCAAGTAGAGGACGCGGCAGAGCTCCTGGCAGGAGTAGTGCACCATGGCCCTGAGGGAGAGGGAGGGGGCCTTAGGCTCCCAGGCCCACAGGACCTGCCAGCTGGGGAGTCTGACTGTGACACTGCAAATCCTGGCAAGCCAGCATCACATGACTTCCTGTGAGCCCAGCTTTCCCACCTGGTAGTATCTGAGAGTCCATTGCCTTTAACTGCTTCTTTACACCGATGGGGAAAGTGAGACCCAGAGCCGGAAGGAGACTCGGCTGAGGGTACAGAGTAAATCAGTAAGAGAGACAAGCTGAGGTTTATCCTGTCAGGCTGCCCAGGACTAAGCAGGAGGCAGGGGCAAGAGGAAGAAAGTGGGAGCATTGACTGAGGCCGTTGGCAGCAGGAGAACATTGTCATTTCACATTATCCTCACCTCACCCTTCCAGACAGGCTGCTATGATGAACCCCAGTCCACAGAGGAGGGAACCCAGGCTCTGAGGGGAATGGATCAGCTCCCAGAGCTTCGAAGCAACACAGCTGCATCCCCAACTGAGGGCTCCTGCTCCAGCTACCCAGTTTATCCCGTTGAGCCATGGGTGATCAAAGTGCCCCCACCCATAGCCAATATCAGTGCCACATGGGAAACTGCCAAAATGCACATTCTCCGGACCCTTGCCTAAGACCCACTGAGGCAGGAACTAAGGGCACGGCACGGCAGGACAAGATGACTGATGCGTACTCTCGCATGAGGACCATACACAGTGCTCCAAAGGTCACTGAATCTGGGAAAGAGGCTGTCATGTACGGAAATGAAATGAGACAACCTGGGTTCAAACCCTGACCCAGCACTTGCTGTATGGTTTGGATCAGGAACTTAATGTCTCTGGCCCCCAACTTCCTATTGTTTAACCCCGAGAGAGTCATAGCATTGCTCCGTTGGTCCTGGTGAAAACCAAAGTGAGACCATCCATGCAGACCCTCTTTGCATGGCCCCTGCTGCTCCATCAAGTGGTTGTCTCTCCTGGTGGGAATTGCAGCATTGAAGTCAAGAGGTCCACTCAGCAGCCAAGGGAGGGTGTGTGTTTAGAAAGGAAGCTCCAATCTTGGCCAGGAGGTCATTTTTTCACTCTACCACTTCCTAGTTGTGTGACCTTGGGTAAATGACCTAAGCATGTTCCTGTGCCAAATGTGCATTAGTAGGGGCTGGAGAGATGGTTCAGCTATTAAGAACACTGATTACTCTTGCAGAGGACCCAGGTTCAGTTCCCAACACCCACATGGTGGCTAAAAACCATTCGTAACTCCAGTTCCAGAGGATCCAACACCCTCTTCTAGCCTCCAAAAGCCTTGCATGCATGGATGCACTTACATATATGCAGGCAAAATACTCATACATATAAAATAAAATTAATTAAATTAAAACTTTAAAAATATTAAGTTTTAAGTAAGGCTTTTGTGACTTTAGATATTTTTAAGATTTTACTTATTTTTCTTTTATGTGTATAAGTGCTTTGCCCTCATGAATGCAAGTATATCATACGTGTGCAATGCTCATGGAGACCAGAAGAAGGTGTTGGAACTCCCTAGAACAGGAGTTACACACCATTATGAGCTACCATGTAGGTCCTCTGCAAAAACAGCCAGTGCTCTTAACTGAGCCATCTCTCCAGCTCCAGGGAAGTGTATTTTTACATTTTATGTATTTCATGTGCATGTGTATGTATGTGGAGGTCAGAAGACAACCAGTGGGAATCAGTTTTTGCTTATACTATGTGGGTCCAGGGAACTAAACTCAGGTCATCAGTCTTAGTAGCAATTGCCTTTATCTACTGAGCCATCTCGCCAGCCCAAGAAAGGGAGCACCATAAAGCATTTTTAGGAACTCCAGGAACCATTACAACAAAGTTTGGGTACTAAATTGAGTGTCATCTCTCACATTTGTGTTGTCCCTCCACCTAGGAGGACAGTATCAGCAAGATGCAGAGAGGTGGTAAAGGAGCAAAAAGTGGCTCAGAGGTACAGTCTCAGGTTTTTCTGAAGATCTGGAGGGTCCACCTCTCCCCACCCTATCCCACTGAGGTGCCCCACCTCACCTTGCCAGCAGGGACACTCCCCGGTGGTGGTTCTGTGCCTGGACCATGAGCTCCCAGCCACTGTGGTCCTCCAAAAACATGGCCTCATAAGAGCAGCCCATCTTCAGCAGCAGAGTTTTCACCACCTTCACCATCCAGCTGCCAAGACAAGGGGGTAAGAGCTCATGTCCACCATATGCCTGGCAGCCAGGCTGTGCGCCACCTGCCCCTCTTGCCATTGCTACCATCCATCCCCAGGAGCTTCTCTCCACCGCACTACTGTTAGATAACAGTATGGGTTGGATCCACAAAGGGTGGCTCTTTACAAATAAAATGTTACTTTCAGAACAAGAGAAGAAACAGAAGAACTGCCCCCTCCCCCTTGAAAAAGAGGCTTCGACCCTCTCTTTTCTCTGAGGTCTTGCTCACTGGAGAGGTTAACTGGCCAGGCCTCCTGCATCCTGCCTCTCTCCCTCTCTGCTCCCCATCAAGTTGTGGCTGTCTTGGTGGCTGATGGGACAGTCCTCTCTGCTCTCCTGGGCACTCAGCCTCCTGCCCAGACCCGAGACTCCTTTCTGTCTTAGGACCCTTCGGGAAGGACTCCCATCTGAATACCTAGTTGAAGCTCCTGGGAAATTTGTCACAGCCATGGGACTGAGCAGAGTTCAGAGGTCTGAATAGCCCAAGGAGGGTGCTGACACCTGCTGACATCTGATTGGGTGCCTGGCCCAGCCTAGTGCCATCCCTTTGGGTGGGAAGTCACACACAGTGGACTGTTGGGATAGGTCTCAGGAGCTGGGGACATGTGAGCTGTGAGCATCGTGGAATGTACTTACTCAGCCTAGATGGTGCTGCCTGCTATACACTGGGCTCCGCTACAGTTTTAGGGGAACCATCATAGATTCAGCCAGTCATTGACCAAAACGTCATTAGAGGGCCCAGGACTGTGAATATAGACTATTAAAAGAAGATAATGAATAGAGTAGTTTTCCAGAAACCTAAACGTTTACTTGAAGAGGTCATGGTGTCCTTGTATAGATTCAGATGGTACCTGAGAGCTTCTAATTCTCAGGATTCAAGACAAGTACATTTTAATCCATGCTTGGTAGCAGACCACTACACTATCAGCACTCCAGAAGCAGAGGCAGAAGAGCTTCAAAGTCAGGAAAACCAGAGTGACAAAGTGAGGTCTTGTCTCAAAAAGTCAAAGGCTGGGAATGTAGCTCAGTGGTGAAGTACTTTCTAGCATGTGTAAGTACTAGAGTTCAATACCCAGTACCACAAAGAAAAACAACACATTTTTAGAATCAAGAAATCCCTGGGAATTGGCTGTTAATTTTGATGGGTTTTTTGTTTGGTTGGTTTTTGGTTTTTGTTTTTTAAGGAAGAAGAGTTCAGTGTGATGAGACCTGTGTTCAAAAGTACAAGACTAGACTGAGGCGATGGCACAGTAGTTAAGCGCTCATCATATAGTATGAGGACTGGAATTCAGATCCCAGAACACACACAAATGCCAAGTGGGTGTGGTGGCAGCCTGTAACTGCAGCTTCAGAAGGCAGAGATGGGGATCAAGAACAAACTGGCTAGTCAGACTAACCATATCCGGAAGCTCTAGGTTTGATTAAGAGACCCTGCCTCAGTGAATAAGATGGAAAAGCTGATGACTCCCAGTATCAACCTTGGGTTTCTACGTGCGCATACACATGCACATGCACACCCACCCATGGGCACATGCACATGTAAACACACACACACACACACACGAAAATGGAAATTTAAAAAAATATTTTATTTACTATTTTTATTTTATGTGTATGTGTGTATTGTCTGCATGTAAGTAAGTACACCCGTGTCATGCAATGCCTGCAGAGGTCAGAAGAGGCTGTCGGATCCCCTGGAACTGGAGTTTCAGACAGTTGATAGCTTCCATGTGGGTGCTGGGATTCAAACCTGGGTCTTCTGCAACAACAAGCAGTATTCTTAACCATTGAGCAATCTCCCAAGGCCTGACACCACAGTTCAAAGACATTTTGAGAGATGTTCATAGTCTCCTGGAACTTAGTCGACATGGGGGGGCAAGAAGCAAAAACAGTCCATTTTGTCCTTCTGACTAAATTAGTTTAGGCCTCATAGCCGCCATGTGGGTGCTGGGAATCGAACCCGAGTCCTCTGCAAGAGCAGTCAGTGCTCTTAACTGCTGAGCCATTTCTCCAGACCTGGAAAAAAAATTTTTTTTTGGTCTTTTTGAGACAGGGTCTCCCTATAGCCCAAGCTGTCCTAGAACTCACTATGTAGACCAGGCTGGCCTTGAACTCACAGCGATCCACCTGCCTCTGCCTCCCGAGTGCTGGGATTAAAGACGTGCGCCACCATGTCTGGCTGGAAATTTTTTAAAGTACAGAATAAGACTGGTGGCACAGGCCTATAATGCCAGTTGCTCAGATCTGAGGCAGAAGGACCACAAGTTCAAGGCCCAACACCCAAGCCTGGGTTACAAAGTGAGTTTAAGGCCAGCCTAAACTACATAGTGAGACCCTGTCTCAAAAGTTTAAAAAAAAAAAAAAAGTAAAAAAGATGGATATGACTCAGCAGTAGAGTTACTTAGCATGCGTGAGACCCTGGGTTCAGCCTCCAATTCCGAAGTGTCAGGGATGGGGAACTTCAGGTATGCAACCTCCCACCTCCACCCTGTCCCTGCTCCTAGATGGATGAGCCAAGCTGTTCAGGAGTGGGCTTGGAAGAAAGCTCCTATCAGCTTCTAGCACTAGCACCTTCACCTAGGGCAGGAGAGGCCCCATCAGTGCCCCTGCAGCCCAACACCCCTCCCCTCCTGCACAGTCCCCTCTGTGATGACAGTTTCAGTCACTTTCACATCAACTGTCTTGAGACAGCCCACCTCCGAGGCCATGCTCCCAAAGACTTGGTTATCAACCTTCCACTTCTGTGTTAGTACAGGAACAAAGTTCACAGCTCAGTAAGAAAAGGTGCTTTGTAAATAATCACGCAAGGAGATAAATCTGCACTTAAGCCAAAGCTGAGCCATTCCAAGTTCACTCTGTGCTGACTCACCTCACGTCCTCAGCCAGCCTCCACATTTTGATAAAAATGACCCTAGCTCTCATCCTTCTGCCCCACCCCACACCCAAAGCCTGGCCTCTAAGTACTCCAGATGATGCCAGGCACCTGTGAAAAGGCAGAGTTATCCAGCAGGAGGCCAGAGTGGCAGAGTGACCCTGCTGGTCTCCAGGCACTCACCATGCAAGTTCCACCCTCCTGGAAGGTTTTCTCAGCAAAGCAGAGCAGAAGATACCTTGAAATCTGATTCCCAGCACCTGAATGGGTGCTGTGGGTAGGGTAGGCTGTCCTGTACTGTGAGCAGAGTGGGCACTCTGTATTTCTTTCAGTGGCTCTATGGTCCTTAGCTGAGACGAACCCTCCATCCTCCATGGAAAGAATGCACCCCATCTGTGTTCCTCCCACTGCAACTACAGCACTTCCACCCTTGTTCAGTTTCCCAGGAACCCAGCAGTCTCTGGGAGTATGAGAGGAGCTAGAGGGCCACATAGACAGCAAGTGTGTCACCCACACTGGGATGGGATCCTATTGGCCCTCACAACCATGCAGTAGAAATCAGAGGCCCATTTCTCAAGCACGAAAACCAGCCATGAAAGGGTTAAATCTGTTACCCAAAGACCGGGGCTATGCCAAAAGTCTTCCGGTTCCACGAGGCTTGTCTTCTGCCCGCCAAAATGTACTTTTAATCATAACACATAACAAGGATCGAAAAGAAAAGCCACTGAATGTAGTCTGTAAAATATTTAACTTTTTGAGTGGCAAAGTAGCCATAAAATAACCACAAGTGTCAAAATGGAATAGCAATGACAGGGCTAGTTCCCTTAATACAATAGACGTTCCCACAAATTAATAAGAAAAATCCCCTACAATCCTAAATAAAAGTGGGCAAAGGTCAAGAGCAACTTGTTCATATAAATGGAAACACAAATGACATTTAAATCTCAACTTCATCCAAATGACAGAAATGCAAAGTAAAACTACAAAAAAAATTGTTTATACAGGTATGGTGGTCACCCCAGCACCCAAGAGTCTGAGGCAAGAGAACTGTGATTCTCTTTGAAGGCCCCAAAAAAAGTGCTGTACTGCATTGTGCTAAGGGTGTGGGAAGGGCCCTCACATAACTGGTGATGGTGTCCTCCAGACCCATTTTAATTAGCTTCTCTAGCTTTTGCTCTTTGGTGTGTGTGTGTGTGGTGTGTGTGTGTGTGTGTGTGTGTGTGTGTGTGTGTGTGTGTGTGTGTTTTATTCCACAGTGTGCATGTGGAGGTCAGAAGACAATTTGTAAGAGACAATTCTCCCCTACCATGTGGGTCCCAGGGATTAAACTCAGGTCATCAGACTTGATAGCAAGCACCTTTAGCAGGCCCTTCCTTCCTTTTTTCTTTTTCAATGTATATTTTTATTGAATTTTGGGGCAATTTTTTGGTAATTCATACATCTTAATCATACTTAGACCCCCCTCCCCTATCTGCACCCCTCTATAGCCTGCCCACAGGATTTCATGCCTTCTGTTATACATGTTAAGGCCTATAGAGTTAGTTTTGTGTTCCCAGATGTCCCTCGGTGTGAGTTCATCCACTGAAACCTATTCAGCCTATCTGGCATCACTCCCTTAAAGAAGATCAACTTTCCTTCACCCAGCAGTGACCAGCTGCCAATAGTTCTTCAGCTAAGGTGGGGGCCTGCTGCCTATTTCCTCAGTTCTATATTGGGTTTGTCTCCGATTGAATTTCCATGGGTCTTATGCATACTGACACCATTGCTGTAAGTTCATATGAGCAAGGTCCTAGAAGCCTGCTTGTCTTTGGGGGAAGGTAACTGGAGTATGAGCATGAAAAGAGACTTGATTTTAATGTCCTTTGAGGTTTTTCCTTTTTTAACAGGTGTACATGCATTATTATAGTTAATAATTAAAAACAATGATGGGCCTGGGATACATACTTGATACAAACAAGTCCTCTGTGGGTAGCAGGGAGACTCTGTTTCCTTATGGTCATACATCACCCCTGCAGGGCCCTCCATGTTAATTTTCATCACTCAATGGTCTGAACTCTTTCTACCACACATTCCTATTCCACCTTAACATTTCCATGCAGAGACCTGTTGACGCATCTGTCCCCCCTTCAGGAGTCCATCCTACATCTAGAATTATACATGTGCATCCATGCAAGCAAGCTCACGGCAACATCTTCTGTAACTGCAAAGGGCAGGGAAGTATCTGAATCAGGAGGAGCCTGGCTGCACAAATTCCAGTATACTGGAATTCTATACACAGGGATGTCCTGCAGCTGTCAAAAAAATGAGGCCACTGTGTGAATGACGATCTCCAAAATAGAGTACAAGATAAGAGCAAACATGTACCTGTGTAATTGGCTAGCACTGGTATAACAAGAGATCATAAATCCATGTGTTCATCCTGCATTAACTACTGCTGGAAGGGCACGAAAAATCTGCTTGTCTTTGGGGGAAAGTAACTGGGGTATGGGCAGGAAAAGAGACTTGATTTTAATGTCCTTTGAGTTTTTTTTAAATGGGTGTACATTCATTATTCCAATTAATAATAAAAACAGTGATGGGCCTGGGATACATATTTGATACAAAGAAGTCCTCTGGAGATAGCAGGGAGTAGAAGGCTGATCTCCTCAAGATGCCCGAGTCCTTCTTACCATTCTGCACTGAGTAGAATGGTGATACACAGAGAAGGCACCCAGAACCAGCTGTTGAGCAGTTGTATAACTCTAATAAACATGTACTTCCAGTGCATGGGGATATAGCTCAGTTGGTAGGATGCTTGCCTAACATGCACAAAGCCCTGGATTTGATCCACAAAACCTGATAAACTGGGCATGGTGGTACACGCCTGTAATCCCAGTAACTCAGGAGGTAGAGGCAGGAGGATCAGAAGAAGTTCAAGATCATCCTCAGCTACAGGGCAAGTTCAAGACCAGCCTGGACGACATGAGACCCTCTCTTAGTGGGCTTCTACTTCCTCCTCTAGTCCCAGAGCCAATATCTGTGGATCGATTGCCCTGAAGATGTTTGAGGGGCCCTTGCCAGGTGGTCCTCCCCACTGCCAGGACAACAGGCTACAGATACCCTGAGGCCTACCACACAGGTATGAAGACAGGAGGTTGCGCGGCATCCTTGGCATCCTTTTGAGAAGCCACTCGGCTAGGCAGGTTGAGGCCAATGTGGTAATGGACCTGAATGAGCAGGGCCAGGAGCAGCTGAGGGTAGATGCGCCTCACTCGACATACACAGCTGTTGACGGACAGGAGCTCACACAAGCCACTGGCTGCCTGGGGGTGGAGGGGAGGCCAGTGGCTTGACTTGGTCCATCCTCCTAGCACTGTTGGCTGAAGCCTGGCCTAATGTTCTGGGAGATTGGGACTAGAACTCTAATTCAGCCTGGGAAAGCACAGATCCCACTGCCTTTGGAAGATGGGGTCCTACAAGCAAGTAGGCTGAATGGGGTGGAAAGGAAGGGGAAAAGGCAGGTGGCTAGGGGGCTTGTTCCTCACCGCCAAGGGCACAATGGAGGCCCGACCCTTCTTAGTAATGGGCTTCTCCTTCAGGCTGTTCAGAAGCAAATCCAGCAGGTCCCGGACATCACAGCTGGGCTTTCTCAGTATCAACTGTCTCCACATCTCTGCCCCATTGCTAAGGGAGAAAAGGATAGTTACTGGTGCCTAGGACAGGAGCAAAAGGTTTCAGGGCTAGGGGAAGGTACAAAGTCAATGAACTGATATATCTGAGGACATGTCAACCAAGGAATGGTCCAGAAAACACTCTCCATGAAGCAGGAGACTGACAATGATTGAAAGCCCTATTTCCAGATCTCAGGCCAGGTCCTTTATTTTCATACAATTGATTACTTTAGCAAATACTTATTGAACAGATCATACACCAAGCTCTAGGCAAATCTCTGGGGATACAGATGCAGACAAGAATTGGAAACACTCAAAGTCACTGAATTCTTACTCTCATTTTATAGAGCCAAAATGCAGGCTCAGGGGAGTAAAACCTACCAGTGTGAGATGATGCAGCTAACAGGCTGCAGAGGCAAGATGTGACCACATCCAATGTCTCCAAAGCTAGTCTCATTCCCCAATGCTGAGGAGCAAGAGTTGAGTCAACAGAGTCCTTTGGAGCCTGGATCTGGCCCTTCGTACAAAATCCCAAGCAATACAGCTCTAGACCTGGGCAGGAAGCAGCACTTCCAACAGACACTAGCCTATGGCACTCCTGACACTCCTGTCATGGGCAGTTGGCAGTGAGCTAAAGGGTTAATGAAACCCTTTTGCCTGATGCATGAGCATCTGAACCTTCCACTCACTTCTCAGCTTTGTTCCCCTGGAAACCTGATAAAGATAGTATGTCAACTATGTTGCTAGGCAACATTGCTTATGATAAAAATGGCCGTGTTTATGGTCGCTTGGTACTTAGCATATTGCCTGTGAAGAATACCAATTAACTGTAAGACTCAAGGGGGCTGCTAGAGCATGGAGCTTCCCAGGACAGTGACTATTGTAACTGGGTTTGTCTCTGCAGGGATGCAGAAAGAAAGGCCTATGCAATCAGTACAAGAGATTCTGGTCTCTTTTTCACCACACCCCAACCCTAGGTCTCCTTCCCTCACAGGAGAGAGAGGCGTACAGGATGCAAAAGTGAAGGAGGCCCTCGCTCTCAAGCTTACAAAAGTGCCCATCAAGTCAAGGGCAGCCCTGGTTGTCTTATAGTTCTATTAGTGGATCCCAAAAGAAACCCCCTGAGGCTATAGCTCAGTGGTAGAAATTTGGCCCTGGGTTAGATACCCAGCACGGTAAACAGAAGACGTCCCTAATGGAATCCCAGTACCAGGAAATCTGAGGTAGATTGCCATGAGTTTGTAACCAGCCTGGGCTACACAGTGAGGCTTTGTCTCAAAAATAAAAAACAAACAAAAAAGCCCCAACACTCATCCCCTCCACTCCTGCCAATGGACAGTGCAGCTAGAAAGGCTAAATTCTTGGGATGCATAGCTAGGCCCTCAGGGTTCCCACTAATCTTGTCTCTGGAATGACTAGCCTGTTCCTGTTAGAGCACACCCCACTTTCACAGCTCTGCATAAGGCATCCACATCGACTTAAAACAATCACCCTAAGGTGTGGATCAGCTGCTGCTTTATTTCATTCAAAGAAGAGGTTGCTGAAGGCAGAGGCCAACAAGGCTAGTCACCACCTGGCCAGTCCTCTCCTATCACCCAGACCAGGAGTTCCCTAGAGGCAGTGAGCATGGAGCTTCCTGTTGCACAGACAGGAGCAGATGCTGAGCACAGCTGGCTGCATGACTTCATACAGTCCATTCCTTGGTTGTGGGGGGACCAAAGCCCAGAGAAGTCACACAAGCTACCCAAGGACAACAGCCACTGCAGGCAGAGTCAGGGCCAACATGCCAGACATCATTAAAGGAAGGCTAGGAGTCAGTCAGGCCTGAGCTTAGTCCCTTGTTCTAGTGATGCCTCAATGACTATCAAGGAGCATCTCCTGAGTCTCGTTTCCACATCTGCAGAATGGGCCAATTTGGGAATGAGAGTATGGATGATCTAGCAGTGCTCAGGAAGGACTTACTGAATGTTATAAATACTGTGGACCATGCAGAGGGGCCAGAGGAGGGCAGGGGAAGGCAGGGACTTTTCTCGGCAGAAAGAATATCTCAGCTACTTCAACCCTTTGAGGTGTAGAGGTTGGGAACCTCCTTGCTTGGTACCTGTCCAGCGGGAGTGGGCACATGAGCAGGGCCACCACGACCTCGGTCATGAAGGAGCTGGCCAGGAAGGAGATGGGCAGCAGGGCCACCTCACGGGCCCGTGGCTCCTGGATGTGGCTCAGTTGCATATAGATGCCCTGCATGATTTCTGGGATCTGGAGGCAGCCATGAGCAAGTGGAGGGAAGACCCATTGGAGAAGCCAAGGGAAGCATGAGGAACATGGGAAAATGGGAAAAAGACCCAGGTAGAGTGACAGGAGGGCACAAAAAAAGAGGGAAGAGAGGACAGTGTGGGGGAAATTGGAGGGTGAGAGAGGTGCTAGGGACCTACTGACTTCCCAACCCCCACCAAGCCATCTGGGTTCTCTCAGGGGTGGTACCCGCTCCTGCCTGTCCCTGTGCTCAGCTTCAACCCTGTCTGCAGTCAGGCAGGCTATCCCATGATGAGCAAGTCCCTTGGGGAGGGAGGCATTCCTAGCCCCATGACAGCCCAGGTTCTGCCTCCAGGAGGCCTTACCACCACCAGCACCCTGTGGCGGTACCACTCCAGCACTGAGCTGAGCGTGACCTCGGAGGCAAGCTGCATCATCTCCCAGGAGTCCGTCCCCTGAGCCTCTGAGATATCCTTCAGTCCTTCCAGGGCTGCCAGCAGCAGGTCTTTTATCTGCTGGGGACCCAGGAAGTCTTCGAATTCCTGAAACACAGGTATAGAGATCTTGACACTGCTGAGCAGAATCGACTCCCAAGTCATACACAGAGGCACAGACACCACCCAACTTAAAGTAAAGGTCACAAGTGAGAGTCACACACATCCTGCTGACAGATGAATGTTAGACCCTTTGGTGAAGAGCTACAAAGGTAGAGGCAAAACTGACACAAACCAGACACTGAGGTGCTCCTGTAGTCCTTTAGCTACTCAGGAAGCTGAAGCAGGAGGACTACTTGAGTCTAGGAATTTGAGAGTAGCCTGGGCAGCATATCAAGTCTTTACCTCAGAAAGAGAAAGAAAGAAAGAAAGAAAGAAAGAAAGAAAGAAAGAAAGAA